TTAATACAATTTGTTATAATACTTTATCTATAATATATTGAAGTTTTAGATAATTTAGTTTTGTAGTTTTTAAAATTACTTGTATATATTAGTTAATTTTTAAAAAAAATTAACTACAGTCTAATCTCCCTACAATTACACCCTTTGGGATAAAGATTTGTATAATTGTAAAGAGAATTTTACTAAGATGTGCTTATAAAGATGTTTTTTCTATATGTTTATAATAGTTGATTTTAAAATAAATGTGCTTATAAAGAGAATTTTTATATAAGTGCTTATATAGAGGATGACTATAGGGAGGTTTGACTGTATAATATATAAATGATTTTTTGAGAACTACTAAGCCAAATCAACTAAAATTTTGATATATTATAGATGCAATAAAAATTTAAGCTAATTTATATAACTAGTTATTAAGATATTTATTTTTAAAATTTTGTTAAAAATTTTAAAAATTTTAAACTATTAATATCACTTTAAAAATTTTCTTAATAAAATAAATAAAATACTTACCAGCCATCACTTATAATACTAATAAATTCAGCTTTATCAATAATTTTATTTACTTCATCTTTGGTTTTTTCATATACTTTATTCAATAACGTTGTTGAAAGTTTTTTTCTACTTGGTAAAGTTAAAGATGGTCTAACTTTTTTAAATAAATCTTTTATTGGTTTTGATTCAGATAAAAATAAAGGTAAGCCACATTGAAAAATTGCTAGAGCAAATGCTAGTTCAATATCATCTTGTTCTGCTTGAGAGATTCTATCAACAAAATTTTGAATACTTGAATTTCTTTGTCTGCTTGTTAAGTTTTTTTGTTCTGGCTCTTGAAATGTAGGCCCAAAGTATGATTGTTTAATTTCTATACCAGCATTATTACATCCTCTTAAATGTCCTTCACATCTTACAACTGATTCATTGCATTTATGATCACAATAATTACATTTAGCACATCCTTGTTTATAATCCTTATCTGGTCCAAGTTTAGTAAAATGATGCCAAATTGGATGATTACCACCCATTTTATAATAATACTAAAAGAATAACTTAACAATAATAGGGATAAAATTATAGATAATGGTAAGAATATCAATACAAAAAATTTTATTATATTTATACTTAAATTAAGTATACTGTAACTATTGATGGGAGAACTTAATGAAATATGATGGGTAAAAGCCAATCTAATGCCAATAGTGTATAAGAAGATAAGCAACTAAAGAAATAAAGTAGGTCTTTTATATTTGTATTGAACAAAAGAGTTAATAACAAATACTTAATATTGGCAGGGAATGATGAAGGGGTGATGCAATAATGGGTGATACTATTAACAATAGTGATCAAGAGGTGATATTAAGAAAAATAATGATAATTTTAAGGATATTTCATTAAGGGTGATACTTTAAAGGACAATAATACTAATTTTAAGAATATTTAATTAAGGTTGATTTTAAGAATTATCATTACGGCGAATTTATGAAATTAAGCTAAAATCCGGTCACTAAATCTGAGTATTTAGTTCCCAAATAAGTTTAGTTACCAAATGACATCTAAATAAATCAAAGTTAAACCCCGAAAAAGTTTTTTGGACCTAAGATCTTGATTGATAATGCGTCTAACCCATCTTCTCCACATGCTAACTCATCTTCCCCACCTCATTAGACATATAAATTTATTATAATGATGTACTCTCACCCTGGGACAGTAGTTATTTTGGTCAAAAATCATTATTGTTTACTTAGTGATCAAATTTTCAAATTTTGGGGTATTTCATAAATTCACCGTAATGTAATCAAATAAAAGTAGACAAAATAAAATGCAAATTTAATCTTTATTTATAATGCATGGTTCCCAATTTTAATTATACTATACATCTTGACTTTACTTGATGACTCATGTGTATTTATTATTATTTTTTTAAAATTTAATACATTCTATTGTAATTATCATTTTTAAATATATATAAGGCAAAATATAACTTATTTGTAGCCTATTAAATTACAGCTTTCTCGCTTTGAAGATGCAAAAGTTAGACAAATAAAATAAAGTATAAATATGAAACACAATAGAGAAAAATGCGTAAGATGCAATAACAAGAAATAATTACATTAGGGTGTCCAGAATTCTGCAATTTTTATTCATTATTTTCTGTACATAATTGTACGGATTTTTGCAGCTAACCTGGCCAGCACTATCAATATTATTTGTTAGGTTAATGCAGGGATTTGACAAGACAATTGTCAAGTATAATTTCAGGCTAACAATAAGCTACGCCTCAAATTCTGCAAATTCTACGATTAAACCACAGATTCTGTAAATTCAGCAAATTCTGTGAATTTGGTAACATCAATTACTAATTAGAAATTGGCGACTGGGGTAAAATTGCCACCAAAAAAAAGTTTCGAACAACACGTGGCAAATATATTGAGCACCAAAAATTCATGTAACTTGAACAAAAAATACAAACGAAAAAAAAATGATGGATTATTAAAATAATAACGATAAGCAATTTGGCTATTTCGAATAAACTCAATAAACATAATACGGTATTTATTACACTAGAAAGTATTATGATTACGGTTTTTATAAATATTTGGAATATTCCATTGCCTTTTAAAATAATTATAATCCTCTTACAATTTATGCAATGGCTTTAAGTTTTATTAATACTATCGAGCCATTTGTTATTATTTGGATTCAATATGTTTTCTCCAATATTTTTTTTTTGTTGCTCAGAATTATAAAACATTTGCTCAAATAAATAATCAGAACTATAGTCTTCCGGAAGAGCATTAAAATAAAATCTACAAGGTTTTCTGGTGCAATTGCATTTTCTTGATTAGTTTTTACAATTTTATTTCGACTTTCATTCATTTTTTTAGTGAAAATTTGGTTACGGCAATCGATGTATATTTTTAAAATATTTAATTTTATGCCCTTAAAAGAATAACTTGGTTTGTCGAGATGAAACGATTGCTTTTCATTTTGAAGAATCGAAGAAAAAAAAAATTACTATACTATCTTATAAATATTATTATTATCATGATCTTAATCATGATGAATTGACAATATCGCGATTTTCGAAACTTTTCTGGGTGGCGATTTTACCCCGGTCATTTTTAACGGTTCCAATCCCTGTACGGGAGTTGGTGCAATATGTGACGATCATTTACTTCATATCATACGATTTATATATAGGGGGCATGCCCCGGGCACGATAAGAGAGTGGGGTGTATCATATCGGTCAATTTACCAGATGATATAGTGAAATCACTAAAGATTTTTATAATAAAATTTTTTGGATCTGCGTTCCGTATTAAATTATTATAAAAAAAGGATTTTTATTTCTCCCGCAATATTTAACATTTTTAAATACCATAAAAGCTAAATGTTTAATGAAAAGAGTCTTTACATAATAACGTTAGAATTTTACCTCACTAATTGAAATATGTCACGGCTTACCTGAGTGTCCGTTATCATACGATTTACTGCGGCCACATAGTAATTCGTTTATCAGGCTTTCTTGCAAAATTTAAAAGCACGTTAAGAGAGTTTCGGCAAGTGTAATTTTATTTGTATATGTTTATTGGTTAAAAGTTAGTAAAGATTAAATTTTTATAAAAACCTGGCCAACGATTTATTATGTGGCCCACATTATGTTTGTAAATCGTACGATAACGGACACTCAGGTAAGCCGTGACATATTTCAATTAGTGAGGTAAAATTCTAACGTTATTATTTTATAAAGACAATTTTTATTAAACATTTTGCTTTTATAGAATTTAAAAATGTTAAATACTGCGGGAGAAATTAAAGGCGAAGTAAAATCGGTTTTTTTATAATAATTTAATTTAGAACGCAGATCCCAAAATTTTATTACGTATAAAAATCTTTTTTTAGTGATTTTCACTATATCATCTGCACTATGACATCACAAGAGGCATGCCTTAGCAATGCCCAAATTTTTCCCGTGCCCCCAACCCTAGTTACGTACCAATTTTATTGAGTCTATTATGCCAAATAATAACCGGATCGACCGAAAAATTATTCGGCTAATTTTTTACAGGTGTCCCAGAGCTGTAAATGTCAAAATATTTCGACAAGCATAAATCAATTTCGGCTAACCAATATTATTTTAACTTTAATAAAAGGGAAATTCTATTTTGACCCGGGTTAAAATGACCCCACCTAGAATTTAGGGTTAGTGCGGGCCAGAATTAAGTTAGTGCTGGCCGGGTTTTGTATTAAAAAAATCCTGGCCGGCATCGACATAATTCTGGTCCGCACTAACCCTAAAATTTTGCTGAGGGTCATTTTGACCCGGGTCAAAATAGAATTTCCCTTAATAAAATGAGGTATACAAAATTTAATTGGATAATCTGGTAACACAAATTGGTAACACAAATGTTGGTTTTAAGGGGTAACATAATTAAAATTAACAATTTATCCCAACATAGTTCGGAGGGTATTGGCGGTGGCCTTAGTAAGTTAGCCCTAAGCAGCGGGCATTCAATACTCGCTAAGTACGTTAATTGAATTTCTAGAATATTATTCATATTCTAATTCATTCGAGCAACTAGGCTTAGTTAGAGGTGTGTTGGATCCAAATTTTATTTTTTGTTATAATTTTAGTTTGCACAAGCAAACTATATGTTTTTTTTCTTTTTGTTCCTTCTTAGTTTCCGGAACTTTCTCTTTCTTTAGGTTTTTTTTTCGGTGATTTGAAATCTAAAACTAGAACGTGACTGGTAGTTGGCTTTTGAGATAAGTACCTGCCTTTTTTTTTTTTTTTTTACTTTAGGTCTTGGTCTTTCTCTCTTGGAGAGCTAACCTCTGAGATAAATACTCAGCCTTTTTTTCTTTTTTTTTCCGTTCTTTCTAGTTTATCGGAGTTAACATTCTCTCGGTCTTTCTTGAAACATGAATTGGGGCTGGGAACTGGATTTTTGAAATAAGTACCTAATTTTTTTTTTTTTGTTCTTTCTAGTATACTAGAGCTAGCATTGTCTTTTCTCTTCGTTGGTTTGAAATCGAGAAACTGGAACGCAAAAAAGAATTTGGTCCAGTCTACTAGTTGTTTTCTTTGCTAGAATTTTTTTTAGATAATGGGTCTATTAGATCGGTCCCGTTTATTTCGCGATGCTCATTTCGTAGATACAACACTTCACCGTCATGTTCATTTCACTGATACTTAACTAATTTACCGACAAAATTAATTATAATCGTTAGGGCTAGACTAGAATTATGGGTCTCTATCATTTTTCTGACAAAAATTGACTGGAACTAACACTAATCCTAACCCAATGCGACTAACTTGTCGAGATTTTGACATTGTCTGGAAAGTGGTTGTTGGAAAAATGATAGGATCCTTAGAATTATATTAAGATTATTGCAAGTTATAAGCTTTTCGGTGAATTAAGCTTGTCAGTGAATTAAATGTTGGTGAACTAAGCTTGTCGGTGAAATGAATATTTCAGTCAATTGATTGTCAGTGAAGAAGTGCTGTGTCTACAAAACGAGTATCGATTTCTTATGACAATAACCAGAATTTATGTTCTGTTCTGTTCCGGAAAAATGAGCATTTTCGAAATAGGCAAATTTTTTTTATAATTTTTTCCAAATTGTCATACTTTTCTTATAGAGAAAGTCATGTTAATTTTATAAGTCGATGTTTGTTAAACATGATACTGTAATATATGAGCATCTTTAATTCTAAGTTTTTGATTGTAAATTTCAATTGGATAGGATCATTTTATTATAAATTAAAATTCTTTTTGTATAAAATTTCATATTGCGTAAATCAATCTATTTATATTATTTTTCAGACAACAAATCGATGTTAACGCTCTTTGACCCATACGGGATATTTTTCTTCACTACCAAATAAATCTCTAAATGTTTGCTTTACAAACGATGGAAATCTATCCTCTATGATAGCCTGCCTATATCGGACAATTCTATCCGCATAATTTTTTACGATCTTTAGAATTTAAGCTTGGATTTTTTTAGAAATATACTCGGATTAAAATTATTATTTCTCATTAATCTTAGTTGATATGCAATATTATTAATAGTGACCAAGTGACATCCAACAGTTTCCTTTGTTGCTTGCAAATGAATATACTGTATGACCGAGTATATGATTTACAAGCAGCACAATCATAATCTTCTAATTTTAGGTTTAATGAACACTTGGATGTTAGAGCATTACCGAATCTCTGTTAACAGTGTAGAAAAACCGAGTTGGGATTAAAGTGCACATGACAAGTCATCATTTTATAATCTAAATCAAAGATAACGTAAATCGTTTACCGCAGTACGAATTGGAAAAACACAATCATACATATCAACACCTATTGCAGAACAAACGACAAGGTCCTCAGTATAGCCAATACCCATACAATATATAGGTTTGTTCTTGGGTAATAAATCAGTATATAGCATTACTCTAATTCAGATTATCGTAAGTTATGACATGGAATGGATTATGTAAACGAGGATAAGAGAAGATTTAATTACCTACATTTTCCAAAAAGTATCTTTTTCTTCACCACCACTTAAACCACCTATCGCGTATCTGGTGTATCACGTAATACCATTTTTCTTTTATCATGTTGTGATCAGTTAATTAAGCCAATTAAATAAATTACAACACTATTCGTTGTTTTTACCTTCGACTCATTTCTTTCGTAAATTAGTATCCAACCCGCCTTGTATAATAGCAAATAAATTTTGGATATCTGGTTTTTTATGAGCACTGATACATTTATCTAACCATCTTATTGATCTATCCATTACTTCCTCAACCCTTTTTCCGGTTATTAATGATGATACTACATCATCTAATTGCATTATAATATCAGCACCGATAGAATTTTGTAAAGATATAAAATGCTCTAGGGTGATCCCTTGTTCTGTTATCTTTGCAAATTTTAACAGAGAAACCATTTGAAAATCTCAACTATCCTGTTAAACGAGTTATAGAAAGTAACAAAAAAAGTGAATTATTAATTAGATCATTGATAATAAGATCTCTTACAGTTAACAAATTCCGACTCCAATTCTGAAAATTATGTGAGCCACCAATTTGTTCAAGTAATTCTTGTCCTTGTCTTAAGCCCTAATAGTCGAGTATAAATATTATTTAAGACTCATCTTGTATTCAAGAGCAAATTTTTAGTGTAAATACCAAATGATATGTATTATTCAACATTATTTGACAACCCAATTCTTCCAGTTGTTTTGGTGTTATGACTTTTAACGTTCCTTGAGTTCCAACTGGCATAAATACTGGAGTATCAACGGGTCCATGAGGTAATTGTAATTTGCCCACTCGAGCTTTTGTGGTCGAGATATGATTTCCCAGGTTAAAGTGGATTTCATAAGTGCAGAAGTGTGATTAACGTTAAAAACAAGATCGAACCCTGAATTTCATCACCCAATAAAATGTAAAAATTTCACGTGATAGAAGGATAAAATGTCAAATTTGGTCATTCTGATTTACTATATGTCCACCCTACGATACCTAGGGATGTTAAATTGGGAGTCTGGTCCGATCCGATCCTAGAACCATCCTGGACTCGAATCCTTAAAATACAATACATTTTATAGATCTTGAATTGGATTCTTCGAATAGGTTTGTCTAATCATTTTAATTCTGTATTGTTAAATAATTCGATCCAGGATTTAAATCCTATATAAATGTATTATGTTTTCATGTGACTTAAGGACCGAGTCCTTACTGATCCTTGAAAGGACTAGTCAGGACTCGATCCTAAATGTTCGATTAACATTGAGATCACATAATGGAAGATTTTCTTTGGTCAAAAACATGCGATGCACATACCCACCCCCATGATGATATGGAAAAACATTCAGAAATTGACGAGTTGAAAACTTCCAGACTTTGCTTAATGGGACACGTTTTGAAGGCTTGAGACGTGGTCTCAAAGTTTCAAAGCAAGATTGCACACTGCTTTGGTAATGATTTAAAATATTTTTATTCGTTGCACGACAAACAACTATTATGAACTCCTAATAATGAAATTTGCGACAAAGGTTTTCATCCTTGGTTTGCTTACCTATTATCTCTTGATAATGATCCACCGGAGAATGAAACTCATTACCGTTCAGTTTTAAATGACATTGGTCCTAAAAACTCTATAAATTGTAATATTGAGCCATTGCTTGCATTTCTACCTCCTCCAAAGCCATTCAATGTTGGTTGACAAGCTTGAAAATTTGATCAAAACTAATAAGTCGGCACTTATTGGTGAGGTTGGTTTAGATTAGTGATGCCGGCATAACCTTTTATCATTACTATGTTTTAGATTTTATCGCATATTTTAACATATATCGTAGTTAAAATTGGTTAAAATTGTTAAAATAAAAACGATTTATCCCACAAACTCTCATGATCATGAATTTATTTGTCTGTTATTTTTTTCATATGTTACAAAATATCCACGCTTACTCGAATTAAAAGTCAGCCGACGACTCCCTACCGATCATGATCATAAATTGCGGGTAACACCATTATTCGGTAAATTTTTGAAAACAGTAATTTGGCTCAACCAGGCAATTACCAATAAATAAATACTTATCTGAATTTTCCATTGCGACTTTATCTTTTGAATTCGACTTGTAACCAATAAACCATTTTAAGACTCAATTCGACGGACTGAAGTGACTTGTAACTTCGATTTGGCTTATTAAGACTCTACTTCTGATACGCTTGTGAAACTATTCACATTAGTTACTTGCGAGAATTGTGAGAATTACGATTCGCAAATTGCCTCCGTTAATTCATCATGTGAACATAAAGTTAACATTGATATCACTTGATCATCCTCCGCTTTTACTTCATCACCTCAATAAATCATCATCACTATCATTAAGACCATCACTTTATTAGCACCCTTTGAATTTGTGCCAAGTTGATGGTACATTAATCAGCCAGAGTATATAACGCTATTTAAATAAACTGAATGGTAAAGCCCGTATATGAAGTTCTAGTATCTATGTTTAACATTATTAATCTTGATTAAAACTTTAAGTTAGCAATTAATGATTGTTGAAATATGGTAAAAAAAAAATGTAGAGTTTAAAACCTGTCGAGTGAAGCGAGGCAAAACTTAAAACTCAAGCAAAGCCAAGAACTATGAAAAAAAAAACAAATAGAATACTACCTTAATATATATTTTTTGATTTCAATTAATAATGTATTATCAAATTGTTAGTATCTGTTAATATCATACGTATAATGTTATATCTAATTATTAGTTGGCGGTGAAGCCACCACATGATCATGTACTAGTTTAGTATAGTAATTTAGTATAGTATATAATTTAGTATATGTTAGCTACTGTCATGGGCAAAACCGTGATCTTAAACCCTTGAAAAGTAACGTGGAAACGATGCAAGAACGTTACGCAAAAGAACCGTCGTACCACACTGCCCCGGAATTCTAAGAACCTGAATTAAGACCTCGTGAAAGTGCATAAGCTAAGCCCCATCAACGATCTCATTGAGGAAAAAAGACACTTACCCGATTCGGTATGACAGCTGTCAAGGTAATATTACCTTGTCGGGTAAAGTGTGTGGCCATGAAGGAAAAAATGTGAATGCGTCAATGAATGAATCGATGGAATCACGGGTAAAGAACGATGACGGCGTAGAAGCCTTCATTTGACTTGCCTTCTTTTTCCATTCTGTCGAACGTCTCAATGAAATGGCTGTGTGCAAGGAGTAGGGAATTAGACTAGAAAGGGTTGTGTGGCTAAAGTTCAATGGCGGTATAATAAAAAAAAGAAGGGAATTAATTAGAATTTTCGAATTTGTTCCCTTCTTGACCTGTAAATTTATTATAAATAAGAGGTCAAATTCCTCTTGTAAAAAGCATTAATAGTACTTGACATCGATTAGTTAGTTCCTAAATCGATTAATTGACCGTGTACAATTGCCCCTACATAATAAAATAAATAAAAGGCCCTTTGTATTAATAAACTGTCACGCTCTCTAAGTCTACCAAATCACCCTGAGTTGTAAAAAATACTCAACTGAAGCCTTAGACCTTGCCAAGTCAATTCCGCCTTTAACCCGTTGAGTAAGTTCCGACCGACGCTTTATTTTGGTGTGTGTGGGTTCATTTGGCCCACAACACTACATCTAATTTTGATCTGCACCGCCAACCTTATACACGCCCAATTTTGGTTGGATTGCACCACCGATTACTATATATTTTTGTAACTATTACCTTTATCCTTTATACATTTAAATCTTCCACTACAATAAAAACTTCTTTATTACCTTAATTTATCAAATGCGACGTTTTCCTAAGGTGAACCAAAACATGGGCGCTCGGTTCATTGAAAGATTCATTATCGTATGAGATTGTTTCTTTTCGGAAAAAACAATAATTTATATTCGTATTTTCTTTTGGATTTTTTTATTTCGTAAAAGTTTGCTTGGACCCTCATTCCTAAGTAATCGCCTAAAAACCTTTAAGGCCACATTATTCTGGTTGCTTAGGGTGCAAGACGGCTGAGCAGTGGAGATTGCTAATGGCGGCGTCTCTTACTAGTAGCTCTTTTACTATACAAACTGAGCTGAACTCTAGGCCGTAAGAGAATTTTCCTTAGATAATTTGCGCCCGTTAACCGGGGTCTTGGTTAATATTCCATGTTATTGGACAATGTTATCCATGTTATCTATTACGTACGTCCTACTTAGGATACAACTTCGGTTGTTATAAACCTAGTCATTTAGGATACGCCTTTATGTGGTGACTGGGATAAGTAAGCTAATTATTTTTTAGCTGAAACTAAAGTATCCTATTAATTTTTTTTTTATTTTGTTTACGGATCAAAATAGATAAGTTCAAATTTTTTTGTGATTTTTGTATTGTTAATTTTCTATTTTAATTTTATATTTTACTAATGTTGAAAAGTTTTTTTTTTTTTTTTTTTTTTTTTTAACGTCGTTTTTATTATAGTCACCGTTTCGTTATTTGAGCCATCGTATTATTGAAGTCGTCGTTGGTATAGTTTATAGACTTTCGTCGTTTCGGTGGTGCTGGTGAACTTTTGTCGTTTCGGTGTCGTATCGGGGAAAAATTCAAACTTTCCTTGTTGATTATTAACGATATCGATATGTACGTACGTACGTAATTATTTGTCATACGAATTAAAGATTTAGATCGCGATCATATCATATGTCATCTTAAATACTCGATACAAAAATATTTGGACTTATGTTAATACAGGTTATTTAGGTTTGTCCCATCCAAGCCAAGCATGTTCAAGCATGTTACGATTAAACCTTTAAAGCAAAACTGTATTATCGTTACGTATAAACTTAGTTTAATCAAACTTAGTTTAATTGAACTTAGTTTAATTATTCTAAATGTCCATATATAAGAATTCCGATTATTGCAATGATATTAAATAAACTTGTTTGCAAAGTCTTAATTTGAATTTATTGTTATGAATTTATATTATTTGATCATATCCTTTGGAAATTAGTTGGAAAATAGATTGTATGATTTTTCCGTGTTCCCGGGTTTATAATTTGATGTTTACCCGCATGTTGTTGAAAATAAAAACGTTTATAGTGGAACGAAAATTCGACTGTTATGGCAAGGGAGGCTTAAAAATGGGATTGGTTTAACATATCTACCCAAAATCGTAAATCAATGATCAAATTGACAAACGAGACTTCAAATAAGGAATGTGCTTCTGTTAACAATAATAACGATAATCTTCCAAGTTCCTTCAAATGCGGTTGGATAAAAATAATATTTTATTTTATACAAAAAAAAAAAAAAAATTTCCTATCGT